GCTCATCTATTTATGTGAGGACTGAGTTCTTCTTCCTCCCCTGTGGCCTTGTAGGGAAGTCCCGTCAGGGGAAGTGATCAGAAAGCAGCCAACATAGTCCATGTCAGAGATATCCCCCACTATCCTAAGTAGTGGGCCCACATGAAGCCTAAGGTGTCCATTAGACTTATCTTCTTAGGGTCTGTGCACTGTAGTGTGTCTATCCTGTACTATATGACTAAAGGAGAAAGAGAACTGAATATAAGCATTCATCATTCTTTGCTTTCTGGCTTTCTTAGCTCCTTATGCCATGAGTTCCCTGAAATGATGAACTTTACCCTCAAACTGTGAGACAACATAAGCTTTTTCCCTTAAGCTGAGTTTCTCAGTATTTTTTAAATTGCCTCAAGAAAAAAAAAAAAAGTAACTTATACATCAACCCCTTGGCAGCACTCCAGGATGAGGAAGCCAAACATTTCATGGAAAATAAATGTGAATTATAGAGAGCTAAAGAAAATAAAGCCTCTCACCCACACTGCTGTAATCTACAGTGCTGCTTTTTAACTTTTTTTAATGTGCATTGTTGTTTTCCCTGCATGTATGTCTGTGTGAGGGTGTCAGATCCTCTGGAAGTGGAGTTACAGACAGTTGTGAGCTGCCTTGTGGGTGCTCGGGATTGAACCTGGTCCTCTAGAAGAGCAGCAGTGCTCTTAACTGCTGAGCCATCTCTCTAGCCCTACATAGCTATTTTTAACAAAGTACTGTTTCAAGCAATAGGACGATCTTGCTCTTCTTCCTCTCTCTCTCCTCTCTCCATCTCTCTGTCTCTGTGTGTGTGGGTGTGTGGGTGCGCATGAGCACAGGCCGAAGCTTGAATTTACAAAAGCCAGAAGCCAATCTTGGGTCTAGTTCCTTAGGCACCATCCACCTTTTTTTGTTTTTGTGATTTTGTCTTTGTGTTTTGAGACAAGATCTCTCAGTGGCCTGGAATTGGCCAAGTAGGCTAGGAAGCCTGGCTACTTAGCCCCAGAATCCATTTCGGTAGCGGTAGCTGTATATGTTGTCACAGGCCTGTAATCTCATACTTAAGAGGTGGAGGAGCAGTAAATCAAGATCATTTTCAACTAAGTAGCAAGTTTGGGGCCAGTCTTAGATATAGTAAAGAAATTACAATAGCTCCTTTTGAAAACAGATTTAACTTTGTTAAATATCATCGAACTTTCAGTTTAAAAATCTAAGTAGGAGCCAGGCACAGTGGCACACACCTGTAATCCCAGAACTCAGAGAGGAAGAGGCAGATGGGATCTCTGTGAGTTCGAAGGCAGCCTGGTCTACAAAGTGAGTCCAGGAAAGCCAAGGCTCCACAGAGAAACCCTGTCTCGAAAAACAAAACAAAAAATCTAAGTAGGGTCTGGAGAGATGACTCATTGTTAAGAGCACTGGCTGCACTTTCAGAGAACCCAGGCTCAGATTGTCAGCACCCACATGGTTGCTAACAGCCTACTTCCAAGGGATCTGACACCCTCTTCTGGCCTCCATGTCCCTGCATATATATAAAGCAGACATACATGCAGGCAAAATAGCCATTCACATAAAAATTCTTTTTTAAAAAAAAGCTAGTGGAGCACAAGTCTTCAAATAAGGCAGCTAGCAGCATTTTTCCATGGTTTCTGTTTTAAACTCCTGCTTGAGTGCTTGCCTTGACTTTTCTCAATGATGGATTGTGACATGGAAATGTAAGCTAAATAAATTCTTTCTTCTTCTACGGTAGTTTTGGTCAGAGTGTTTTATTACAACAACAGAAAATAAGTTTGAACACAGGGTCTGTCACTGAACCTAGAACTCATTGATTTTTTTTAACACTAGCTAGTCACCAAGCTCCAGTGATTCTCCTGTCTCTCTTCCCCCAATACTGGGGTTACAAGTGTGCACCATCATGCCTGGATTTTTATCTGGGTGCTGAGGATCTGAACTCAGGTCTACATACTTAAACAGCAAGTACTTTACCCAATGAGCCACCTCCCTATCCCATAAAAGAAACAATGCCAACATCTATATGGAAGTATGAAAGACCCCATATAGCCAAAGAAATACTGATCAAAAAAAGAATAATGTTGAAGGTATTACTACACCTAGTTATAAGTCATACACTAAAGAACTATAGTAAGAAAAACAGCATGGTACCCACACAAAAACAGACATGTAAACCAGTGGAATTGGATAAAAGACACAGATATAAACCCATGCAGTTATAGACTTCTGACTTTTGAAAATAATGCAAAAAATGCGTACGTTAGAGAAAAAGAGTCTCTTTAACAAATGGTGCTATTTTCATAGAATAATGAAATTAAGCCCTTATCTCTCACCCAATTTTTAAAAGAAATCTATCTCAGGCTGGAGAGATGGCTCAGAGGTTAAGAGCACTGGCTGCTCTTCCAGAGGTCCTGAGTTCAATTCCCAGAAACCACATGGTGGCCCACAACCATCTCTAATGAGATCTGGTGCCCTCTTCTGGCGTGCGTGTGTACATGCAGACAGAATACTGTATACATAATAAATAAATCTTTTTTAAAAATCAATCTCAGTGCTCGCTTCGGCAGCACATATTCTAAAAATCAATCTTAAACGGATCAAAATGAATCAAAAACCAGAATATAAAGACCTGAAACGCTGACACTATAAAAGGAGATCATAGAGAAAATCCTTTAAGATTAGGCATAGTCGAGGACTTTCTGACTAAGGCCATATTATCTCTGGAAATAATAAATAATGCAAACAACTAGGCAATGGTGACACATGCCTTTAATCCCAGCACTGGGGAGGCAGAGGCAGGTGGATATCTGAGTTTGAGCCAGCCTGGTCTACAGAGTGAGTTCCAGGACAGTCAAAGCTACACAGAGAAACCCTGTCTCAAAAAACAAAAGAAAGAAAAAAAGAGAGAGAAAGAAAGAAAGAAAGAAAGAGAAAGACAGAAAGTGACAAATGGGCCCTCTTAAAAGTAAAAAGCTTCTATACAGCAAAGGAAAGAGCAAATGAGTGAAGAGATACTCTATAGAATGGGAGATCTTTTCTAGATATATATATCTGACAGATGATTAATATCTTCAGTATACAATGAATTTTTTAAAACTTAACAAAAGAAATCAAGCAGCTGGGAGCAGTAGCACACACTTGTAATCCCAGCCCTCAGAGAGGCAGAGGCATCTCTGTGAGTTCGAGGTCAGCCTGGTCTACAAAGCAAATGCAGGAAGACTACACAGAGAAACCCTGTCTTGCGGGGGGCGGGTAGGAAGAAAGAAAAGAAAAAAAAAACATTTGGGTCTGGTAAGACAGCCCAGTGAGTAAGCACTTTTCTGTTGGACCTTTGGGACCTATATGGTGGAATGAGAGAACCAACCCTTGCAAACTGTCCTCTGACATTCACACATGTGCTGTGGTATGCATATGCACACACACACACTCATAGAGTGCATAAATGTAAAACATTAAAATAAAAACAACTCAATAAATTGGCTGATATGAACAGATGGTTCCAAAGAAATGAAATGTAACATACCATATAAACCAACAAACATAAAAAAAAAAATGTTCCACCTTAGTGCAAATCAGAAGTAGACCGAGACTGTGGAACAACTGTCAGAAAGAAAAACAAATAATACCAAATGCTTGTGACGATGTACGCAAAAGGGATTCCTTTTATACTGTTGTTTGAGATATAAACTACATCAGCCAGTATGGGGATCATCATTAAGGAGGTTTTAAAAAAATAAAAAATAAAAATAGGGCTGGGCATGGTGGCTCATACCTTTAATCCCAGCACTGCAAGGCAGAGGCAGATGGATCTCTGAGTTCAAGGCCAGCCTGGTCTACAGAGAGAGTTCTAGGACAGCCAGAACTACACAGAGAAACCCTGTCTCAAAAAGAAAGAAAGAAAATAAAAATAAAAACCTAAAACAATGCATAAAATCATGTATGAAATGAAGGTGAAAACAAAATTGTCTATGAAGACAGACAATGAAAATAATAATAGTAATGAAACACCTATTTCTCAGGTTACTTAATGATGGATTTTTTTTATTATACTCATTAATTTTTCCTTACAAATTCTTAGACATAAATGCTCTTAACAGGCCCTGGGAAAACCCAATGCAGTGGTTCCCATTTGCCTCTTCTTCCTTGTAAGTATAGGCACTAAAATGACTGCAGAGTCCTTATTTTCATGAACACACTAAGACTGTTGGATAATCGAAGCAACCTCTCCCTCTCTTGCTAGGTTGTTGATGGGGATTTGTATTAATTTATCATTGACTACAGTGAAGGTGACATGAGACGAAGCAAGATGCCTAAGGCTGGTAGAGAACTAGAGAAGGTGCTCAACAGAAGTGGAATGAATCCATTCAGGGATTGAATTGATATATTTTGTTAATGTTTTGAGACAGGGTCTCTACTATGTATTGAAGACTGGCTTTGAAATCACTACATAGCGAATGCCTAGCTTGCCTCTTTAAGTTAGTGGACCCCTGTTTTGTCTTAGAGAAAAAGAAATAAATTCAAGCCACAGAACACTGAAGAGAAAGAACTCACAAAAGGTAGTCACTTTTGAACTGAATATCCAATACATCCAGTGCTTGACATACTCCAGTTCCGACTTGAGTCCTGACAAATTTTCCCATCAAATGGGACATAGGGGACATTGTCTCTCTAATATGGTATGCTTAGGCTCCCACTGCATCTGGCTGCCTCTATTGCTCCATCGCACCAAGTAGAGTGCCTCGCAGGTACTCCAGCTATCGCCTATTTAACCAGCAAAGGACAAAGTTTGGCATTGGGCAACAAAAAAAGAACCATTCATTCCACTGTAGGTAATAGCCACCAAAGAGAAGTACAGACCTGCTGTTTTCAACTGTCCTCATCCTGACTCTGTCCCTGGCTCCTTCTCAACCCTTCACAGGTGAAACCTGAATTATCTCTTGACCGCTTCTTGTCTTGGAAGCCAAGGTGTAATAAGGGGCTTTCCTCACCTGGATTTCTTTTCCTGGCCTGACTCCAGTATCTCCCACACATCAGTCCCATGACTTTCCTTGAGGCTTTGATGGGAGACCCGAAGGCTAACATGAACCTTCCTGGGTTCTGTCAGTTCTTCCTTCATCTTCTGCAACAGCAGCTCTTGTTGCCAAACCATATACTTTTTGTCTGAGGATTTCCTCTGCTGCATGCTTGACAAGTGACTCTTCTGAGTGGAGGGCCTAACAATGTTGATGGCGGGCTATCATCCCCACCTGGCTTGGACAACTTGGAATATAAGATCTTCACAGCAGGCTGTTTATGGCTGTTCACACCACTGCCCACTTTCAACACTAAGCTTCTGGGGCTGCGGCCCTCTTCCAGCTCCTTCAGCTGCAGGTGACACTCATAGAGCTTTCATCCTATGTGAGCAACAGTGGTAGAGGTGTGCTGCCTCTCGAAGGCCTGTTGGATGTGTGGGGCCTCGTGGTGGTCAGCTTTGGAAACCAGCTTGAGGTAGCTCATGGTCTTCTCATCCCTACTGGCCTTCTCCACTCTCAGCTGCTCTGAGAGGTAGAAGATTTGATGTTTGACACTTGCCCTCAAGCTCTCCATCTGAAAAGCTGGTGTGACTGCTAGGGCAATCCTCATGGGAGGAGGACAAGGGCCTGTAGGAAGGCACATTGGAGGGAAGGGTTGCACTTGGGCTCTTGGTGCTTTCCACCTGCATTGGGAAACAAGAAAACATACAACAGGTGCTCGGTGAGCTTCAAATAGAAGATTTGAACACATACGGATTCACTTCAGAAAAACACATGTGTTTGATTTCTGTAATCAAGACAGGCCCAATGCAGGCTATGGGGAGATGGGGTTAATTTTTTGGGCCCCAACTCCCTCCTTTTCAACACCTACTACTTGATAGTACCCTACTACAAACTTCAGATGGGTAGAATCTGCCCTCTACATCTGCCTCACCTGGTCTTGAACCTCTCTTCCTATTATATCTTCCAAGAATTACTGATAATGTCCCTCATTTATAAGGGGCTGTCATTATAAAGTAGCAGTAAATTTATTATCATTAATAAGTTTGCCCCACACATTATTTACTGAGCGTTAGTGAGACAAGCTAGGCAGGGAGTCTTGTACAGCAAAGGACATAAACTACAACTCCGAGGAATGTGAAGGGATATTACAAGCATAACGTTGAACAGAAGAAACCAAACAGAAAACGTCATATGATGTCTGGTTCTGTTTGGATAAATTTTAAGAGCATGCTAAAAAAAAAAATAAAGTAACCTTTTATAAGGATTCTACAGAAGCAATAAAGTATAAAAACAAAGCCTAGTCATGAGTAGCATAAGCATCAGGGTGAAGACTTCCCTGGAGGTGGAAGAAGGGAGTTGTGACCGTAAGGGAGGTAGAGACTACAGTGCTTGGTCTGGAGAGAAGTTATTTGTATGTTTACCTTATCATTATTTCTTAAAATATATGTTTCTGTTTTCTGCACCTTTATGTGCATATGCCAGATTCTGCAATTTAAAAATGTTTAAATGTTCAATATATGAATTTAGCAGTAGAATTTATATGAATAGAGAAAGCTTATAAACAGTAAAACAAAGCTGGTAAAAGGGGGCCTCTGGAATCCAGCACAAAGGTGTAAAGAAATAGAAACTTTTAAAAGGAGAAACAGAAGACAGGATGAGGAAATCAAACAAAAATCTCACAGAAGACAGAATGAATACTTGAAAATTTAATCCAAAAGAACTTTTCAGAACTAATGAAAGTCACAAATCTACACATTAAACAGCTTAATAAATCCCAGGTAGGAAAAAAAACAAAACAAAACAAAACAAAAAAACCTCAGAAATAGATCTGTATCAAGAGACAAGATATTAAAACCAGGCCCCGCATGGTGCTTTACACCTGTAGTTCCACCACTCGGGGACGCAGAGGCAGGCAGATCGCTGTGAGTACAAGACCAGCCTGGTCTACAAAGCAAGTCCAGGACATCCAGGGCTACACAGAGAAACCTTGTCTCGAAAACACAAACAAAAGATTAAAACCAAAGAGGGAAAAATATTTTACCTTTAAAACCATGACTTTTCAACTGCAATCTGACTTCTTGACAGCATCAATAAAAATATAGCTGAATAGTATCTTTAATACCATAGAAGATACACTGTTGGAGAAAAATAAAGTCAGATTCAAAAAAATTGGAATATGGTGATAACATGTGAATATCAACATCACTATTACAACTATTTTAAAGTGCATGCTTCAGTTTCACAACATTTACTACATTCTCTACATCTCCAGTCACGACTACCCTCTAATTAGAGAACTTTTTTCATTGCCTCCAAAGGAAAACTGTACCTGAACATTGGGGTAGTCCCTTCGAGCAATTAATAACCCAAAGAAAAATATAAAGAAATAGAATTAGTTTGACTAGTGTTGAAAATGAAAGTGACGGATTTGAAATGGCCACACAGAAGCAGCGGATAGTCTGTGGCAGAGGGGTAAACGTGTAATGAAAAGCATACACATCTATGGAAAGCAGAAGGATACATGAAGTAAAGTGATCACGTGCAACAACAGAAGACTACACATGCAGTTAGCGTGGTGGAAGACTACATGCACAACAACAAAAGAGTGTGTGGCGGAGGGATACATACACACCTATATATGTGTATATATTTGGCGGGAGACACATATAACCGGAAAAGGCTTTTAACCGAGTCACGGACTTGTGGCGGAGGAATGGACAAGCAGAGTTGAGGCATATATGTGGAGGGATCCCTCTATGCCAGGGTAGGGTAAGTCCATGTCAGGGCGGGGCAAGCCGGGGCTTTTTGAGTGAGCTGCAAGGCGGAGACTGCCATTTTGTGCAGTAGGGAACAATGAGGCGGTACAATGTCGGAGGCTCAGGCGAGCCATGAGACGGCCCACAGCCCTAGGCTTGATGAGAACACGTTGCAGGTGTTTCGGGACATGGCCAAACGTTGCCTACGAATCCGTTCCATCAGGGCCACAAGTACCTCGACGACAAGGTAAAGCTGCCTGGAAAGGCCTTACCATGCGGTTCTTTGGTCCTTACTGAAGCTGTGACATCAAGGGAACCTGCCGTTATCCTCCTTTTCTGCAGTAGGGGGTCATCTGCTGCCTCTAGATGCGTATTAGTACAGTCCTCTTCAGCCCTGTAGGTAGGGGTAGTCTACCCCTGACCACATTGTGGCCAAGGCTGTAGAAGCCCAAAAGACCTCCATAGTAAAGAAAAATCTAGAACCATACTGGGTGAATAAGCGGTGTTCCCTGGCACTTATTAAGGTAGCTGGCATTTTATCACGGAATGGATTTTTGTGTATAGGTAGTTACAGTGGAATTGGGGCTAGTCATGCCTGAGCGGCAGTTGTAGGACATTAGGGTGAAAAACACATCAGGCTCTGTGGAGAGCATACACCAGAGGGGCAGTGCTCTAGGAGATGGGGCAGGAAACAGGAAATGTGAGAGATACCACACAAAGGGTGTGCTTTCAAAAAAGAAATATTTGGTGGCTCGTAAAAAAAAAAAATGGTTAGTGGATTTGCTGATATTTGTTGAGGGTAATCTTGCACCGATATTGATAGTTTTTTGCTTTTTGTTTTGTTTTGGGGGGTTGGTGTTTTTGTGTGTGGGCAGGATTCAGAACGGGGTTTCTCTGTGTAGCCCCGGTTGTCCTGGACTCTCTTTGTAGACTAGGCTGGCCTCAAACTCAAAAAGAGATCCTCCTGCCTCTGCCTCCCAAGTGCTAGAATTACAGGCATGCCGTGTCTATAGTTTTTGTTTGTTTTCTGTGTGGCCCAGGCTGGCCCTGTACTAGATACAAGGGATTCTCCTCCCTCTGCAGTATTTGGAATTAATGCCAGCAACATACTTGTGCACAATTTTTCTTCACAGTTTTTCCTTCCTTTTTTTTAATGATTTTTTTTTTTTTTTTTTTTTGCATGGGCGGGGAAGGTAGTTAGTCTTTTGTTTATTTTTTTTAATAGGGTCCTTTTACGTGGCCTCTGCTGTCTTGGAATTTAAAGTGTAGACCAAGCTGACCTTGAATTTACAAAGATTCTCCTTACTCTGCTTCCTGAGTGCTGAGATTAAAGGCACACACCACTACATCTGCTTGCCCACAGGTTTTCAATAACTAAACTGTTCAGACTTCCTAATACTGACAAGGTCTTGCTAGATATTCTCTTTTTAGGAATTTTTTGGTTGTTTTTGAGACAGGGTTTCTCTGTAGCCTTGGCTATCTTGGACTCATTTTGTAGACCAGGCTGGCCTCAAATCCACAGAGATCCACCTGCCTCAGAGTGCTGGGAATAAAGGCGTGTGCCACCATGCCTGGCTTCTAGGAATTTTTTAACTTATTTTTATTAACAGGTTCTTTTAGGATATAGTTGTTCACATTATTGTTAAATTTCTTGTTCATTTCTGTAGGGGTGACAGAATAGCCGCATTTTCACTTTGTGAGTTATTTCCGTCTTTTCACAGTTTTGCTTTTTCTAACTAACCAAAGCTTTGTTAATCTTTTGCAAGGACCAACTTTGGATCCTGTGGGTTGTATTTCAGTGCAAAGCAGTCGCCTAGCGTACCCAGAGCTTGATCATCAGCATTGCAGAAAAAAATAAATAAGTTTAATTCTGTAGATTTTCTCCTCGTTTGGTTGAATAATTTTTTAAATTTGTTTATTTATTTTATTTGTATGAGTGCTCTGTTTTCAAGCACATCAGAAGAAGGAATCAGATTCTATTACAAGTGGTTGTGCCCAGCTATTCTTTCTTCACTTCAAGGCTTTTCCGTTTAGTTCTTTAGTAGTTCCTTAAGTAGTTAAGTGAGGTTGTTGTTTAGAAATTGTCAAAAATAAGGGGTGCTGCCTTGCCAGGCCACAGAGGAAAACAATGCAGCCAGTCCTGATGAGACCTGATAAGCTAGGGTCAGATGGAAGGGGAGGAGGACCTCCCCTATCAGTGGACTGGATGAGGGGTGTGGGAGGAGAAGAGGGAGGGAGAGTGGGCTTGGGAAAGGATGAGGGACAGGGCTACAGCTGGAAAACAAAAGTGAATAAATTGTAATAAAATAAATTTTTTAAAAAATTAACTGTTAAAAAAAGCTGGGCATTGGTGACACACGTCTCTAATCACAGCACTTGGGAGACAGAGGCAGATGGATCTCTTGTGAGTTCAAGCACAGTCTGGTCCACAGAGTTCATGCTAGAACACTGTGTGTGTGTATATATATATATATATATATATATATATATATATATATATATATATATATATA